TAAGGCATAACTTTTTTGTATTCAACTTTTAAACATTCGTGATACTAGATATTAGGTATTATAGTACTAAAAGATACTCTTACTTTAGAAAAATCGGCTTGAAAATTTTTCGTTTTTTCGTCATGAAAGTTAATTAATCTTTTTTGCACTAGTTGGCTTTGAAATGTCAACATAAGTACATATAACGCATTTTTTACTAAGTTTTTCATTGTCAAATTACTGTCAGTTCGCTAAGTTTATCTTTTATTTTTTTACTTGATGGCATTTAAACACAACCATTTTAATTAAACAAAAATGGTTTTTATTAATGAGGAATACGATGATATGCATTTAGTTTATGGCGAAATGAGGTTTAACGTTAGAGCAGCACAACGTAGATATGCTGAGAATTTTCCTAATCGTGAGCATCCCACTCACTTAACATTTATAGGTATTTATCAACGATTAAAAAAAATTAGAGAAGTGACTGGAATGGGTCGAAATAGACATCAAGAACACATAAAAGACAAAAAAAAGAACTACTAAAACATTTACCAGAGAAGTTAAGGCGATGGGAGCAGTACGTTAGAGAACTTTTCCAATATGAAAGAGGTGAAATGAAGAAAATACAAGAATTAAATCCTTTAGAGAGACAGAAAATTACGATAGATGAAATCAAATATGCTATCAAAAACTCTAAAGACAATAAGGCAGCTGGATTAGATGAAATACCAGTAGAACTGTTAAAACTAGTGGAAGAGGATAACTTGGAAGTATTGGCAGATTTATTCAACACGGTGTACGATACGGGAATAATACCACAAGAGTGGCTGAAGTCAGCATTTATAACCATCCCTAAAGCAAAAGAGTGCTCTGATTATCGAACACTGAGCCTCATAAGTCATACTTTAAAAGTTCTGCTAAAAATAATACATAAGAGAATATACGAAAGGCTAGAAGAGGTTATTAGCGAGACGCAGTTCGGGTTCCGAAATGGAATGGGTACTCGAGAAGAACTATTTGCCATCGACATATTGATTCAGCGATGTCGGGATGTAAATGTTGATCTACACTTGTGCTTCGTTGACTACGAAAAAGCTTTCGATAAAGTAACTATGAAAATCTAATATCAATACTTATGAACAAGCGCATTGACAGTAAAATCATAAATATAGTGCAAACATTATATTGGAACCAAAGTGCCATAGTTCAAATTGATGGGCAACACTCAGAAGATATAGAAGGAATACAATAAAATACCATCAAACGACTGGGAAAGATACCTGACGCAACTGTTTAAAGCAAAGGAAAATAATAATCAACACAAGTATCTGAAATAAGACACGAAATAGAAATCAGTTTTCAGAAAGTAGAAATACCCATAAATTCACTCAAAAATAGAAAGTCACCAGGACCAGACGGAATAACCAACGACCTTCTAAAACACGGAGAAGAATGACAAAACCTAGAGATGACAAAACCTATACAAAAACTAATATTGCACTGCAAGATACCAGACGCATTGAGAAACAGCATAATGATACCAGTGTTCAAGAAAGAAGATAAAGAACCTCAACAATTATAGAGGTATAAATCTACTGAACACCGCACTTAAGCTTACCACAGAAGTCCTAACCAACAAAATCAATAAACTAACAACTTTATCAGATGAACAACAAGGATTCAGATCCGGAATATCCTGCGTAGACGCCGTATTTGTACTAAGACAAAGTCGAAGACGTCTTACACCTACTGTATACAAGAAACGTACCAATCAATATTATACAAACCATGGAAAACATCTAACTCCATAATCGAATACAGGCAAAGATAAATGGAAAACTAACATAGTGTATACCAGTACAAAAGCGGAGTCAGACAGGGCGACTCGTTAAACCTACTTCTCTTTAATATAATAATGGACGAAATAATACAAGCAGTACGTAAAGGTCATAGCTACAGAATGGGGAACAAAGAAATCAAAATATTGTTATGCCGACGACGCCGCATTAATCGCCGAGACAGAAGACGAGGTCCAAAGATTAACACATATCTTTAATACAACAGCTAAGAAATACAATATGATAATATCAGCAGAAAAAATTGATGGGAAATAATAAAGCAGGAAGCAATGTTTAGATATCTGGCAATAGATATAACTAAATACGGAGATGTTGAAGAAGAAATACGACAACAAAGCTTAAAAGCAGTAAAGCGGCAGGATCTCTTAATGACACAATCTGGAAGAACAAACACCTAAGACAAGACACAAAACAAGAATCTATAAAGCAGCAATTAGACCTACATAAACATACACGGCGGAGACAAGAACTGACACATCTAAAACGAGACGACTACTAGAAACAACAGAGATGAAAATACTCCGAAGAATATCAGGGAAAAGTCTGTTGGATAGGGAGAGAAGCGAAAAGATAAGAAGAGCATGCAATATAGAAGACATAAATGGATGGGTGACAAAACGAAAACCGGAGTGGAACGAACACATCAGTAGAATGGCAGAGGATAGAATAGTACGAATAGCACGAGATAAGTCACCAAATGGACGAAGAAGTATTGGCAGACTAAGAAAAAGATGGCGCGACAACTTAAACAATTTAGGAGGCTAATATTGAAGAAAAAACAGGCTTTAAAGAAGGAAGAAGAAGAAGGGCCCCTAAATACGGATTTTAAATTGTCGAATGCTGTCCATACAAGTTGTATTCTGTTTGTCTCGTGTTTGTCATGGGAATTAAGGTCAAAAACAGAATCACCTGCAAATCTAAATAACTTCTGCATTGATAATCGATGTGAAAGTTTCAAATCGGCAAAGTTCAGATTTTTATGAACTGCTATATTAAAAAATAAATAAACATTTTAGGATCCACGGGATCATAAAATGGGAGGATCGGTTTCGTAGATTACAAAGATAACGAGGTTTGTTTGTTTTGTAAGTAGATATTATGTGTGCTAATTAATAACATTTTCAAAATTCAAAGTACATACATATTGAATAATATATTTTTATGAGAATTGAAAACATAATCCCAAGGATTTTAGGACACATTATTTTAAGTATTTTTGGTTTATCCCTCATAGCTTTCCTTCATGTTATACCATTTCCTAGAAAATACTATGAATGAAAACTTCCTCTCTTCACAAATTCTTGGTTTACGTGTATTTTAATAAAAATATGGTATATTTAGGACCCATTCCTACACATTTTCCATCGTGTTCCCTCTTAAATATGACGCCACGCATTCGCCCCTTGTTTTTCGAGGTCATCCCGACCTCTCTTTGTCTGACGCAGAAAGAGATAGTTGCATACTAGGGAGCCGTTCGAAGGGGAAAGGGACGTGTTGCGTTCCTCTTTCCCCTCACTGCACCTCGGTGGCATTTCGTAATTTTAACAGAATTCAAGGCGTCTGTAACCGGTACACGATTTATCGATGGCAGCGTTGCCGTAGGTGTGAACTAATCGTAACATTTGCGAAATGTTTGCATTCCAATAAAGTCGGTCAAGAATTTGACAAAGTGTTTAATTATGATCAATTTTTCTAATTACAGAAACCCGTATGAGGCTTAAAGTTGTTATTATTCTGGGTTTATTACAAAGTTTTCAAAATAATACCAGCTCCTACTTAGTTTCGACCAACTGTTCTACAATAATATGCGACATTTTCAAGTCTTGTGACTTTGAGTATGTCAGCAAGATGGAATATGTAAATTATAATACTGTAAAATAGTTTTTTATTCTAATAAACTAAGTTCTGCGTGTTCAATTTCACAATACCTACTTAGAAAGAAGTTAAATTTTATATTAACCACCATCTAACCAAACCTTTATCAACTTTATTCCACAACAAATAGGTAAACTGATCAAGAATAATATGTTATTGTACATTTCAAAATATTAGAAAGCATATAAAGCCTTAAATATAGGAAATATCGTGATGTAAATCACTTAAGCATCATAATCTTTGCCTTTCTGCATAGGTACCTATGTTTTGAAGAATTACCTATATCCAAATGTTTCCGCAAATAATGTTTATACTTTAAATATAAATAATTCTTATCGAAAAGAAAAATAGCTAAATATTGTAGCAAACTCTATTCATCCAGACGTGAACAAAAAGAAATGAAATATCATACCACGTGCATTTCACTCATTTTTGCATTATGATGTAAAACTGTCATCAAGCCAACATGATTCTCCAACAAATAGTTTGACTAATATTTAAATACATTTATTGCAGTTCATCAATTTTCGTAACATAATAATCTCTCCTTGTATTTCCCCATTCATTTGCAGAAGGAATTCCATTTTTCTCTATAGAAATCTCTAGAATATTATAAGTTAGGAAAATAAAATCAATGACCTGACAACACCGCCCAAAACAAGCACGTTCATTATTTTAATACAAAGGGACAAAAGGATAGCGTTGCACGCTAAGCATTTTCATATGACGCCATTAAATATAAATGTATTTAAAGGTAACGGTTTTTTGTAAACACCATCCATCCGATACTCCTGTACTCATGTTGTTTTGTAATAGGACTGAACAAATTGATTTATGACGGAGTTTCATTAAATTTTCTCATGTTAAATTTAAATTAACCAAAAAGCGTTGGCTAATCGCTTATTTACTTTACAAATTATAATTAAGTCGTCAAGTAACTATTAGAAAACGATCAAACATGAAAAACAAAAATATTTTTTATTTTCAGTTAAAAAAAGTTCAATAAACTCTAATATACCTATTTGTTTCATGATAAAGAAAATAAAATATAAAAATATTTATAGATACACACGCCTCTCAATATGTGGAACGATCTATTATAAGCATAAGCATAGACATAGAATCATAAAGTTTCATCAAATCATCGAAGCTTTAAAAATGGCGGCCAAGTTTATATTTTTTGTATAAATAAAAAATTTAATTGTTTCCGTGACCTCTTTTATTTAATATACAATATAATTATTTCCTTCTGAGAAGGCAATAGGCAATTTAATAGAATAGGGTCGGATTATTCAGTTTACCTACACATATCCAACCAATAGATTAAACCGTTCAAATCACGTGCGGCCGTAAAAATTGGCTTGTTCTTCTGTGATTGGGTTGTTATCCCTCCAAAACCCTCTCAAGCTGCGTGAGCTTGACACATTTTATTTTACGTTTCGCGCAGGAAATGATCGATTGATTTTAAATTTCGCGCTGAACCAAAACTGACGTTTTAGCTTTGATATTTGACAGCTTCCGTTTTCTCCTTCTTTAAGTTGACAGTTGTTAAGAATAATACAAAATGGTAAGTTGGAAATAAAAATCTTGAATCATCTACTTTTTAAAAGTAATTTTCGTATATATTTTGAAAAGATGTTTTATAATATCTTCCTATCTAACTGTTTAGGACTGTATAGTGGTAATTTTCCTTTATTAATTTTGAAAGTAATAGGTTATGTAGTTTTGAAATGTCAACAACTACTTTTAACTTATTTTCATCTTAATATATTATAAAAATACACTCATTGCATGCAATAATCTGTTAATTAAATATTAAATTATTATCTGTTTTAGGTTAACGTACCAAAACAACGTCGTACGTTTTGCAAAAAATGTAAAGTCCACAAGCCCCATAAGGTAACCCAATACAAAAAGTCAAAAGAACGTCATGCATCTCAAGGTAGAAGACGTTATGACCGTAAACAACAAGGTTTTGGTGGACAAACTAAGCCTATTTTCCGTAAGAAGGTAATACATTTCTACTAAAATAAATCACAGACATTGTCATAATCGCATTATGTTTTTAGGCAAAGACAACCAAAAAGATCGTATTGAGAATGGAATGTAGTGACTGTAAATTTAGGAAACAAATTCCACTTAAGAGATGCAAACATTTTGAACTTGGAGGTGACAAGAAGCGTAAAGGACAAATGATTCAGTTCTAAGTTATTAAACCTTGTTTTTTAAGTTAATCCTCACAAAATAAACCAAGTTTGTATATAGATTTGAATTTTTATTTACCAGCCATTCAAATTAGTCACAAAATAGAAGTGCTTGCAATACAATTTTGTTGTTTTTGACAATTTTCTTTGATTATTCATTAATTTAGACTTCAGTGTCATAATCCTAAGAAGTTAAACATTTAATATAAGTTTAATAGAGCTCAAAAATGAAATTTGTCAAATTCCTTTTAACCCGCAAATAGGTTAGAGGGTTTAGCAAATAAAAATAATAGCAAATGTGCAAGTAAGAATTGTTGCAGCATTGAAATCGTTTGTTCCTATTATTCAAACAGGTCATTGATAAAAGTAGGAATGTTGACAGATTAGTATTGGTAGTCTTACTTTAAATCAGTATGAAAATGTGCATATTGCAAAAGTTAGAGATGTTTAAGAGTAAATTGCAGAATAGAATTAGTTGGTTACCTTCATATAACATTTTAGATTGAGTTAAAATTACTTTTTTATTTTTTTTGAAGTTTGATTTGAAACTGAAATTTTTTTAAAATGTGAAAAATAGATTTTTAACTCAAATGTTATTTTTACTTAAAAATAATTAATGTTAATTGAAAATAACAGGTTATAAATTTACTACAATATTTGGGTTAGAAAGTGAAATAAGGAAAGAAATACACAATTTACTAGTTTTGTTGGGAATAAGCCACAATTTATCTTTAAAATTAAGATTATTTGACATTTCGATTTCCACTTTGGAAATCGTTTTGAATTTTAAGAACGATTTCCGAACAGAGAATTAAAATGTCAAATAAACTTAATTTTAAAGTAACATTGTGTCTTATTCCCAAAATATTAAGTGACAAAGTAAATGACAACAAAAATATTCAGAAACATTTTAGATTAGGAATTAAAAAAGTCAATATATAGTTTATACTTTTTCATCAGTTGTAGGCATATATATAGAACACAGGCCTCTGTTTTTATATTCCTCTCTAACCAAAACAATGTAAATCTATGCTGGTTGAACACATTTTTACAAATCATTAAGGGTAAAATTAACTAATGTTTCCAAATAATGAGCTCAATAGAAAATCAATAAAGGTGCTTCCTTTGCATTACCCAAATTAACCTTCAATATTCTCATTCTGAGTATATATGATAGTCTGTTATTTATTATGAATATATTCGATAAATGTTGGAATTTTCTCTTGATGTGTCATTATTTTTTCTTTGTGTTTGCCATATTGATATAATGTTCATACTTGCAGTATTAAATTTAGAATTTAAAGCAATATTTGTCTATTCACTATTTTGTTCAATGTCTAAGTTGCCCCCTCTTTTACAAGAATTTAACAGAAGTAGAATATCCAAACCATAAAAAAAATACTAAAATGAATCATTAAATAATGTTAAGCAAATGATTAAATTAAAATACATTAAATGTTCCTGAAAATCTTTGAAATATGTACTCTTAAGTTAAAAGTCACTCATCTTTGATCCCTAACTCAGTCAAAGAGTGCTTAAATCTTACAGATTTTATATCCCTCATATCATAAGATTGATTAAGATAATTTGTTAGTATCTGAATTCAGTTAATAGAGAGAATTCACCATAGTTTGTGTGAGTGTTTTATAGAAAACAAGGTATGTCTCTTAAAATTATTCTAGTACTACATCTAAAGTTGATAAGACTTATAAGTCAGAACAGGCAGTGGTACAGTCAAGTATTTAAAGAAAAACTAGATCACATTTAGTTCTGTAGTCTTCTACGGAACTGATATTTAGCGTTGATCTTAGTCCCACTAAAGACATGATCTTTAAGTTTAATATACATATAAGCATAAATCTGGAGAAACTTATTTTGATTTTTTTTTTCAAGAGTGTAAATATGGTTAAAATAGTAAGGTAACCTTACTATAGAAGCATAAGACAGGATGCTGTGGAACAAAGTAAGATATAAAATTCTACATGTGGGTACCAAAAGATCTTGAGAATTTCTTGTGACAAAATCTATATTGCTTTATTTGACAAATTGTTGATGTGAGGGATACATAACAAGGGACTGTCAAATAACACTTCCAAATCTCTTATTTCAGTCACTCTTGAAAGAAGGCTTATATTAATATGATAGTCAACACATTATTTTTAATTTTGCTAAAGGATATAACGAAACAATTATCTTTATTTGGAGATCATTGGAAAGAGACCAACACATAGGGATGTCAGGTCTTCTTGGATCCTTAGACAGTCAGATAGGTTTGAAACTTTGAAGTATAGCTTAAGGACATCAGGAAATAGCAAACATTAACGAAACTTTAAAAATAACATAATGTGCATTGCCAAGATTTTACATGCTTGATAAAGGGTTATTCTTATGTAACCTAAACATATTTGGACTACTTAAAATAGAAGAATTGTGAGAAAGCAGGTTTTTTTATATATATTTTGAAGTAACATACATTCTCTTTGCCTATATCCCTGTATGTGGTTGGCCTTCCTAATTGTATTTCTCCATAGGTTTCTAATTATAATAACAAACATGTCATTTAGCAATTGATATTTTTAGTAAAGAAAACATTTTTTTACTAATTTAGCAATAATAATTCATAATCCATACTAAAGTTATCAAAAAGTCTTTTAAAAAACAATTATATCAAGTACCATTCAACACAGTAGTGAGCAAGGAACCAATTTAGCATTTTTTCATATTGGGTCATTTGGACAATTGAGATTTTGTATCTACCTCCCAATCTTTAGCTTGCCTTTGCTTTTTTATTATTATTCTTTAATACTTAATAAACCGTGAAACTGATATTGGTTGTCATAACTCAATAGATTGTATAAATAAAGCCCTGACGAAAGAAAACCATTCAGCTGTTTACTAAATTTAAACTAACTTAAAAATTAACACATCTGAACACCTATAAGAGAAGAAATAAACAAAAACAATGCTGAAGCATAAACTCAAATCCACAGCACATATAATGTGAATAAAAAGTTAAATTATATAAATACAACAATTAAAACAGTGAGACAATCATCTAGCAGAGACTATATAGTTTAAAAATGAATATTTTTTAAGATGTCATTTACATATACATTATTAACAATGTTAGTACCTTTGTTGTATAAATCGGATAGAGATAACTGAATTAATGACACCTAACCATGATACTATACACTTTATCGTACTACTCATCAATCAGCTTTCTCGTTCACTCAAGAACTACAATTCAATTTCGATTTTATACTAAAATGTTTCAAATATTTCTGGTTTTAGAGTGACTCATTGAGCTATCAAGTTGATTATGTGTCTGATACTTTTATACTTACATTTATAATATAATATCAAGAGAGTAAGATTATTACCAATGTTTTGTTTATGCATAAACAAGGCTTTAAAGAAATAACTACATATTGGTTTAGTACATATTTATTTATAACAATAAGGATATAAAAATTTACTTAAAACTCTATTTAGGAACATACATTTGTTTAGAATCAATCTGATTTTTCTTCAGATTCATTTTGTATAAGATCTTCAGTTAATCCTGGCACAACATCGTGAGGTTTGCTGTAAAGAGGGAAATGTCAGTTAAACACCATGATATATAAGTAAAACAATCAAGTTGGATGTAATAGTTAAATATGTTTCTATAAAATACTTTAAACCATTTGTGTATGGAGTATTTAAAAAAAAAAAAATAAAAATATGTGTGAAAAGTTAGAGCAGTAGAGTTAGAGCATTAGAGCAGTAGAAAATGGATTACTTCTAAAAAAATGAACTCTTCTAAATTTTTCATAAATTTGTTCCCAATAATTCTAACACTGCAGCAATTACAGCATCAACAATACAGAACATTTTTGTACACCAGATACGCTTCATAACAACTAACTACCTCATGATAAATGATAAAGGCAAAGAAAAACAGCAGATGTTATGCTTGTCAACTGATATCTTATGGACTTTACTATGCTGTAACAAAACCATTGATATGATAAACACATATTAGAGAACAATTGGCCATATGAAGAAATATCACATTTAAAAAACCTACAATAGGTTTGAGCAATACTTTTTTTATAAAAGAACAGAAAAAGTTGCTAAGGGCTACATGGTAGCCTAATTCAAAACACTCACAAATTAATATTAAAGAAATTATTTTATTGGACAAAGAAAAGTATGCAGCAAAAATTTGATATAATACTTACTCTAATATAGAAGGATCTATGCCTTCATTCTGCATTTTTAATTTGACAGCCGGCTCAGGCACTCCAAATTGAACCATTTTAAAAAATTTCTTAAATCTAGGGTCATCTTTAGCTGCAATTCCTTGAGTTTTCAGAGGAGGATCTTCCTTAACTACATTAGTTGGCTCCGTTTCATCCTGCTGCTTGATCTCAGGCAATTCTACTTCAACATTTTGGGAACTATTATCAACATGGTCTAAATTATCTTTTTTGCTTTCTATAGTTTCCAAACCAGAAATTGATGACAACTACAAATTTTACAAACCCAAGGGAATTGGTTAAATGTAGTAATCTATTTACAACAGTTACTTTCAGTATACTTACTAAATTTTAGTGCATACACAATGGTAGAATATGAAAAATAATTAAACACTCACCCAAATTTATTTCTTTATGTGGATAATGTCTGACTGCACTTATAATTTTTGTGCCTTCATGTTCTGTGTGATAATGAAAAAAATTAACAAACAACAAATTAAAAAAAAATGGGCAAGTTGGGCCACATACAAACTGAAAATAGCTTTTAACCAATATTTTATAGAATATGTGATTTAAATGGTTGACATAAAAGGTTTTTACAGTTAATTGCAATCAATATTAAAGATAAAGAACAATAAAAAATGAATAACACATAATTCAGTGACATATTTTCTGATAAGGATTGCCTTAGCTGCTACTATGTGGCATAAAAATATACTTGATTCTTATAGAATCAGTGTTTAAATATGTTTCATGCTTCCACCCATTTTATTATACTTACTTGTGATTCCAATATAGAAAGGGATGCTTCAATCTTCTGTATTTTATAATCAAATTCCATGAACCGGGACTCACACGACTGTGCAAAATTATTTAAATGCGACACTGTGTTCATTATAAAATGATTAACAAAGGCTATAGTACGTTTCTGTTGAATGGGCAAAATCTAATTGAAAAAGTTTTTTTTATTAGGTAGGAAAGATTTTAAGCTTAAATAGTGTGTTAATGAAACTTACCTGTGTTAAATCCTCATTAGGATCTATTGAAGGAAACTCGGCCTCCATGTTAATGAAAGAAATTAAGACAAACCTGGTTTATTTTAAATTATTGAACATTTCAAATTATTTGAACTAAAATTAACTATTATCAAAACATTTTATGACAATCATCTGACACATGTCACATTGTCAAACTTGTAACCGAAAGGTTACACCCCCTTCTTCTTCTTTTATTTATTAGATTATTAGACATATACAAGGTGATAATACAAAATAAGGATAATTACCAAAAGAAAAAAATTTGTTGTATGGTGAAATTTAACACAACTCTCCCATGAAACGCCTAAAATGGAATAGTAAAACAATTGAATATTTATTTTCTGTCTTAGGAACTTATAAATACTATATAACTGTACCTTAAAAAAGTATTTATTTTCATACATTAAGTCGATAGGATCGTATATTATAGTTACAAAATCGCAAAAAGGCGATTTGGTTCGTGAGGATGTGGGGAACTATGAGTTATTCTGCAATGTCAAGGAAATCGACTCAGTTTAACGAATAGCTGGCGGTTAAAGTTTATCTTACATCACGTATTTGTTGTATCCTTAAGAGTTTAGAATTGATGAAAAATACTGAAGAACACAACAAAATCAATAAAGAAATCAAAAGGAAAATCCGGAATGCAAAAGAAAAATAGTACAAATGTATTGAAATAGAAGAACTGCAGAAAAATAATGACACTTTTAATATGTACATACAAAAAGTGCAAGAAATAACTGGACCATATAGGTCAACTTCAAGTAGTTTGACACAAGAAGACAGACTGGAGAGGTGGGGAAAATATATTGAGGATCTGTTTGATGAAGAAAGAATAGAAATACAAATCGAAAATATATAGATTGGTTCAAAAATAACCTTCAATTAAATGGAAAGAGATATACAATTATCAAGGATAGGAAACCAACCAGTCTAGATGAAATTACCAGCGAAATAATTAAACTACTCGACGATAAAGGCAAATATTCTTTGTTAAACCTCTCCAATAAAATATACGAAACAGGGCGTGTACCAACAGACTGGTACCAAAACAAAAAAACGCTAAACAATGTACCTAGGGATCATTGCACCATCAGTCCAATGAGCCATGTACTGAAAATTTTCTTAAAAATACTGCACTCAAAAATTTACAACCAAATAGAAGTATAACTAAGCGAAACACGGTGTGGTTTCAGAAACAACCTTGAAACCAGAGAAGCATTATTCAGTTTGCTGGTCCTGGTTCCAAAATGTACGAGTATACAACAACCGGTATATGTGTTTTATCGACTCTGAAAGGGTCACCCACGACAAACTGATAGGTGTCTTGAAACAGGTTTGAGTTGATGACCAAGGCCTATGTATTATCAAAAATTTGTATTATCATCAATGTGCAAACATACGAACTGGTCAGAATATGAAGGAAGCAGTGGTAATACGACGTGGAGTAAGGCACGGGTGTTTTTTATACTACTCTACTTTCTACTTTTCTACGCACTACTAAAAAACAGAAATAACATCCAATCCAATAATAATCCACACTCAAGTCTTCAGGCTTAGCTCTTTTTCATTCCGTAGCTGAATACTGCGCGCTAATATGGATCAAGGATCAACAGTTCTCACGTTAAAAAGATAGATGTAGAACTAAATAACATCATGAGAATGATCACTGGAGTAATCAAATCTAAACTAACACATTGGCTATCAGTGCTGAGCGACCTTCCACCACCACATCTTCGCCGACCCAATCTGCTTACCAAAGTATATAACAAGACCCTTAGCAACACGGAGCTGCCGATTCATAACTATAGAGAAAATGCAACTAAAAGTTGACTGCGCTCCAGCAAATCTCCAATACAAACTGCAGAATCAGCCGCAGCACCAGGGTTCAAGATGATCAGCAAATTAATCCATGAATGGTCGACAGCTCAACCAAATGCAGCCATACCTAGCATCACAGAGACACCTCCTGGATTTGACCTACCACTTAAGACCTCAGAACTCTTGTCGATGTGGAGATATATTGCACGAATGGGGCAAGTTACCATCACCGTCATGCAGCTGCGGCGAGGTCCAATTTATCAAGCACATAACGGAAGAGTGCTACCAGCGAGCCTACGAGGGCAGTTCTCAAGACTTCCTGTTTGCGACGATCGAGTTGATTAACTATATAAGCAACCTTCAAGTTTGCCTATAAACTGGGCATGATTGAAGTATTTTTTTAACGTTTATTGTAATGTTGAAGGTGTGTCGAAATACAATAAGCTAAATAAATACGTTCTACTTTTTAATATCTGTTCCGAATTTATTTTCAAAGAAGCCTTAGATGGAGATTTTAAGATGAAGAGATTAAAATCAATGGGATTAATGTCGACAATCTCAGATACGCAGACGACACGGTACTGATTGCATCCGATTGTAAAAGAGTTGCAACGACTTACCACAGGGTGACCGAAACATGCGTTGAATATGGGCTACGGCTACAGCTTAACATTTCTAAGATAAAACTTGTGGTTGTCAGCAAAACAGTTACAACCAATGAACATCAGAGCGTATGGAATAGAGTTGGAAAGAATTCACAATCCCTGTTTGGCCGCCAATGTTAACGATAACTGGGATGTAAGGAAAAAAATAACAATATGCATTGAAAAAGCCAGAGGTGCCTTCTATAAACTAAAGAAAATTCTCAATAATAGAGATATTACATTAAACCTTGAAATCAGATTAATGCGCTGCCTTTATGGCATAGAGAGCTGGACTCTTACAGCAACACTAATGGAAAAACTTAAATCTACGGAGTAACATTCCTTACTGCTTAATATATGCTGATTATGCAGTGTTAGTAGGAAATAATGGAAGGGATTTAGAACAAAAAATAGAACAGCAGAGACAAAAGTGGAAAAGAGTTAAGTAAAACTGAGTATGACAAAAACAGCGCATTTGAAACATTTATTTAAAGTTGGAGTAAGTTACTACAAATAACATGATAATTTTGAATCAGTCTGCATTTTAGAGTAAGGAAACAATTATACAAGTAAATAAAAGACATAAACAAATAGTGAACAGAAGCACAGTGATTTTGATACCATTGCAACACTATTTTCATTCTACACTGGCAAAATAGGGTAGAATACAAAATTCCATTACAATTCGACGATTCTCTTTGGGTGTTCTGATTCTTTGAGTAAATTATATGTTTCTATAGGTGATTATAAAAAATAAAGCAATACTTATAACATAATTATTTTATTACCTTTAACCAAAGAGAAATATAATTTATTATTTTTGATTACAAGAAAACACAAAGCCACAAAATTTTTAAATTAACAAAAACAAAAACTACAAACAATATCACAGAATTAACAAAAGGAATTCGGGGTTATCTTCTTCTTAAAATGTTTTGTAAACATTTTAAAATAATAGTGTAGTCAAGCAATCTAAACATGAAACGTTTAAACATAATACACAGAGAGTGAAATGGTCAACTGTAGTAATTTTTTACTTATTAAAAGTAATGATATAAAATACCGACATCAAGTTGCCGATTGAAAAACCGCAAGTGATTAAAAGGAGGAATATAGGAAAAAATATTGTTTTGTATTATATAATCATTAATCTATACACAATTTCCATATTTACATTGCTTGCTAAGAAATAACGCAGTACTCTAATCTTAAAATAGGCTTGTACATACAAATTCCTACAAAAGGCCTCCGTCTGTTGCACGTATATTTTTAAGGCTCTTATATCATTTTATACATATCAGAGTAATGCTTATTTGTAGTCAATGGATGAGAATTGTCTAAATAATATGAGTATTAATAGTGAACGCTATTAGGCTGATCTGTGTGTTCCATTTTTGATATTTTAGTATATTTCTTTAAGCGTTTCAAATATAAACTTCTAAATAATAGATTATTAAAATATTTAAAATTCAACAAAAGTTAATAAACCAATCTTACGGTGGGCAGGGCACGTGGTCCGCATGCATGAGAATAGAATCCCCAGAAAATTACTAAATGCAACAATGCAGACAGAAAGACCTGTTGGAATACCAAAAAGAGATGGGAAGACGAAGTCGATGAGGATGCCAGAAACTGCCTGGGAAGGCGTTCATGGAAAAGAACAGCGGTAAATCGAAATTATTGGAGAAGCTTGTTAAAGGAGGCCAAGGCCCGATTTGGGCTGTAGTGCCATTGGATGGATGGACGGAATATAATAAACTTAAAGGCCAAACTTTAAGAGACAATACCGATATGACAACTCCACATGCAGATAAATACCTAAAAACTTAAATGTCCATCGTCGTGACATCGTACGCAGAAGATCAGTAGATTTAAATCCGTTAAAAATCTGCCTTAAAGGAACATTTACCTGTGAATCTTGAGAAGGCTGTAAAGTCGCGGTGGTAGCACTAGGTGCCAGGGAGGTATTAAAAAGTACTTCCCAGAAGAGATCACAAACATTTTCTATATCTGCTTTACCACAACATATTCCAGGGGGATGGCGAATTTGATGAACAAACTGATGTAATTTTTCATGGAAAAAACAACAAGCCCTATATCGAGCAGATGAAAAGCCTCTGTAAATTGTTCCTTAATTTTTATAATCTAGAGCATAAGGTGAACTTACAAATTTCTTATAATTTGGTAAATCCTTTAAAGCCTAAAACTCATTTCATCATAGAAATATAGAATAATAAACATACTACATTTTTAATTGTTTTGTTAGAACGAAAATCCAACTGCAAAAAACCCGAGGACTGCAAACCTAAGGAGAAACAAGAGGTATTGTACGAACATTTGCAAACCATCCTGGATAAAATACCTCATGAAGAATCCTTAATTCTTATCGGTGACTTGGGGTCACACTTCTTATGGATGATAGGGAGTGAACACAAATTAATACTAGAAAAAATAAGAATGAAAATAACACCAAAAAAATTTTCTACAGAAAATCACCGAGGAAAAATTCTATGTAGAATCACTGTGAAACGACTCTACAAGAGAAATGTACCAAAGGAGGCTAACACACAAGATACATCGAAGATATAAACGCGAGCTGCGAGAAAATTAAAAACAACAATGAAGGAGCAGCAACAGAAGCTTTAGGAAAACGCAGTCATACTCAAAAAAAAAAACAACATTACA